TTCTACCTGAGGAGGTCTGATGTGTAAGCAGCCTCTCCCCATCTACCTAGCAGCTGTCTGCATTGCCACCCCAATTGTGGTCATCTGCTACCAGACTAGATAGATGGTAGCTAGTTTTCTTTACCTACTTTCTAATGTCATGGTTCCTGTTTGCCCAATGATCATTTGTCTGTTAACCACTGTGTGTAACCAACCCCTACTGGCAACATAATTGCAGCACAATAATGATTTGCATGATACCTTGAAATTTGGGGGAGGGGCATGCCAAGTTGGGCATCACTTTGTCTTAGCAATTAATGGGATATTGATTACTAAAATAAGTTAATAATAGTAAGCAAGGTGCCGGTTGTACAACCTCTAATTTGATCAATGTCTTTTCAGCACYTTGAGCTTTACTTGGCTCACTTAGTCTTCCTTTTGTAACGCATGGTTGGGAGGAGAAAGTGCATGCATCTGACCTATTAAGGGTTTCTTCCGAATGGCACTACTTTAGGGACATTCTATTCATGGATCACCTTTCTCCCAAAGACCTCAGATCAGACTGACTTCTGTCTTTCTGTTTCTGACTAACTTGGTCCAATGTTCATTTCAGGATCCAAGATTTGTCAGGTGAGGGTGCCCAATGGTGATTGGGCCAAGTCAGTCAGAAACAGAAAGACAGATGATGGTTGATATTTGATACCCGTGAGTGCTGTCAGGGTCAGACTTGGGACATTAGATCTTCATGCAGCACAGGGGAGTCTTTTACCTTCAGTTGTCTCAAGCYTTCCTCTGTCCCATACGCCAATTCTCTTCCACAGAAAGGAAACTGAAGCAAGTCAGAACTGAYATTCCCAATGCCTAAGCAAAAGGGGATTGTTCCACCTTCACCAGTAAGCCAATCACCTGAGTCTTAAAATCAGCAGCTGTGCTAGTCACTTTTAATTGGTTTTTCCATGAAGAAAGAGCATAGAGAAGAGAAATAAGAACTTCCTTTTCAGTGTTACTGTTTAGAAATAACTAGATGTCACAAGAAATCAAACATGTGCAGGAAAGTGAGTAGGCAAGGTAAACCTTTACTTCTAGCAGAAAGGCATACTTCCAGAACTTGACTAGTTAGCATGCCTGAAGGGCAGACCGCCTGCTTATATCTCTAACCTAAGGTAGTACTGCCCTTCACTCTGATTAGAGGAATTTGGGGTTACAATCTGTGCAATTGGCTAATTTTAATATTAGGGTGGGCAAAAAGGGAGGGCTACAGTTGGATCCAATTCAGGCTGAATATTCTGAAAATGGAACTCCAGACCTTCTATTTCTCACATTACTTACCCTTCCAAAAATCCCAGGTGGGCCCCCATAAATGTAACACAGAGGGTGGATGGGTAGGTTTTCTGTCTTGTAAATTTTTTAAGAGAGAGAGAGAGAGAGAGAGAGAGAGAGAGAGAGAGAGATAATTATTTTTAGTTTTTCAGTGGACACAACATTTTTTATTTTTATTTTATTTTTATGTGGCACTGAGGATCGAACCAAGGTCCTGCCCGTGCTAGGCGAGTGCTTTACCACTGAGCCACAATCCCAGCCTTTGTCTTGTAAATTTGAAGAATGAAATCYGTGGACAAAAGGATGAGAGAGAGAGCAAAGTAACAGGATTTATTAGAGTAATAGAAAGTAGAACTCCCAAAGAGGGAGGGGTCCCAAGAAATAAATGCCTTGAGGGTTTTTGTTGTTGTTSTTGTTGTTTTAATTAAAGAATGTGAAAAGTTGAGTAGTTTTGGCAGAGAGAAGGTTTGGAATGGAGGTACCAGGCCTGGACATACGGAACCTTGGACCATTTGCCATTGCAGTGGAGAAAGTTTTCAAGATCTCAAGAGAATTTGGAAGTCAAATTCATTATCAGGCCAGTGACTTGTATTGGGGCCAGGCAATAAGTCTGACAGTGTCTTGGAGACCCAGAATCTGGGTATGTTCATGAAGGCACCCCAGTGGGGTGTGTCATGGAGGTTTTGACGGGGTCTGGCCCATGCTGGACAAATAGATTGAGGAGGGCCCCCCCTAAAAACTCCAGCAAAGAGAAAAGACAAAAACAAGGAGTGTCCCCACAAGAAATCGATTTCTCTAAGATTGTTCCAAGAACAATCAATAGAAAAATAGGCAATTGATGGTGTCCCCCCATAAAACAAGTCATTGCCACCCAGTGGTGGTGAGGGTTTCTCACCCAGGGCTGGGATTTGTCAGTGTAACAGTACCCATGGAGAAAGAAATTGAGGCAGAGACTCCAGAAATCCAGATGAGTCTATGGGGGTCACTCACCCGGTGATGGCCAGTGGTGGATGAGAAGTCCAGCAATGTGAGTGGTCCTTACTGGAGACATCAGAGGAAGAGGTAGTAGAATGAGAGAGGGAAAGAAAGAGACTGGATTGAGGTCAAGGGAAGGCCTGAGGGTGGGGACCTCAAACGCCAGTCCTGGGTTTCAGCACTAAAATGTAAGGAAAGAAGTGAATGAAGGAAATAAAAAGAGAGGAGAGGAGGCTCAACAGTAACAGGGGTTTATTCATGACAAACCTGCAAAGGGGACCCAGTGGAGACTGAGACCTATCTTCTGCTTACAGCCTGGGGTAGGTACAGGGGGATGAGGGGATAGGGGTATTTTTTACAGTTATACCATTGCTAAGGGGTTGACAGGGAAGGATCATTGTGGTCCTCATCTCTATTCTTTAAGGTGGTCACTGTTCCATGTCAAACCAGGTATTTTCAGGATTCCAGTCCCAGATAACAGTTTCCTTTCTTTGTATGATGGAGTATTGTCTGATGCTTATTGTCTGGGTTTAAGGTCTGMCTGAGTCACAGTGACTGTGAGGTAACTCCATGGAGGCCATGTTTCAAAATGGTTTTGCCTGTGTCAAGTTCTTCCCAACACTGGGGATTGAACTCAGGGATGCTTTACCACTAAAATACATCCCCAGCTTTTTTTTTTTTCAGACAGGATCTCACTAGGTTGCTTAGGGCCTCACAAAATTGCTTAAGCTGGCCTCTAACTTGCAATCCTCCTACCTCAACCCCCCATCACCAGGATTACAATGTGCACCACTGTGTCCAGCCTTTATCATCTTTCCCCTGCTCACCCATTCATGTCTCAGTAGCTACCTAGCAGTACATACCTGTAATCCCAGCTACTCTGGAGGCTAAGGCAGGAGAATTCACAAGTTCAAAACCAGCCTGATCAACTTAACAGGACTCTGTCAGAATTTTTAAAAAATTAAGAAAGGACTGGAGAGCTAGCTCAGTGATAGCATTTAACTAGCATGTGCACCATCCTGGGTTCAGTTCCCAGTAGGGGTGGAGGGTATTTGGTCCCTTCATTTGTAAGTATGTTCAAATAGCATTGCTCTTAAGACTCACAAAACTCCTAAATATTACTTTCCCAGATAAAACATCAGACTAAGTGTTGTTGTGTTTTTAAAATTATCTTTATTCCATAGTCCTGAGTTTGTCTGTGTAACCCTAGGACATAGCTTCAATACAGCAGGTCCCCATTTTCCATGAGGAATATATTTCAATATCCCTCCTTGGTGCCTGGAATATGGCATAGTACTGAATTCTATCTATGTTATGTGTTTTCCTGTGTACTTAAACACCTGTAATAAAGTCTAATAAATCAGGCACCCTCACTGATTAACAATAATAGCTAATAATAAAATAGAATAACATACTGTAATAAAGGCTATGTGGTTGTTATCTCTTTCCCTCTCTCAAAATATCTCCTTGTACTGTACTCATCCTTCTTCTTATGATGATACAATGCCTATTTGAGATGAAGTGATTTAAATGATATAGGCAGAGTATGTAGTGCTAGGCAACTATGCACTGCCACTCTATTACAGTTAATCCAATAAACAAATTGGCTACTAAATAACCTGTACAACATGGATATACACTGCACAGAGGGATGATTTACATCCCAGCAGGAGGGACCAAGTTGGCAATGAGTCATCACACTACTGAGAAAGGTACCCAACCAAAAACTTATGAATTGTTTCTTTTCCATTTCTGGACCTCCTTAACTGAGAGTAACTGAAACTTCAAAAAGGAAAGCCACAGCTAAGAGGGGATTGATGAAAGGAGAAGCATACAAAAGTACAATTTGTTACTATATATTTCAACCACAGAAACCTCAAGTTGTAAGTGTTCAAGCATTGCCTCTTCTATGGATTATGGCGTGCAGATTAATTTGGAAAGCTTGRTAATGTTATTTTTTAACCTGAATTAACATAAGGAAGCAATTCATTAACAGGCATCTCATAGAATGTATTTCATAGCAAATGTAAAGGGTACTCTACTAGGCTCTGTGTATATGTCTATTTAAAATTATTAAAAAAAAAACATGCTTAAGGGATGGGGTTGTGTCTCAGTGGTAGAGTGCTTGCCTAGCATACATGAGGCACTGGTTCAATCCCTGGCACCACATAAAAATAAACAAAATAAAGGTATTGTGTCCATCTACAACTAAAATATATATAAATCACACACACACACACACACACACACACACACACTGCTTAAGTGAGAGAATTCCACTGCTTTAGAATCCTTTACCTCTGCTTTATTTCCTCACCTCTAGCTTCCCCAACACTTCTTTCTCATCCCTCAGACACCAATCTCCCCTTGGAACTTACCACCCCTCACTGAATTTTGGTACCAAGATTGTCCCCTTATATGGCACCATAACTATTCTCACCATGATCAACCATCCTGCTAATAAGTCAGGTTCTCATTTCTTCATTTAAAATGTTCCAGAGATTCCATCTAATAGGTCCAAAGAAATCTCTAGAACATAAGACCTATGATTACAGAGGCTTTTAGGGCTGTTTTAGTCAGCATTGGATTCACAGCATTTAAARTCATACTTGGTACACAGTAGGCACTACATTCATTTTTGTTGAACAAATGAAATGTAATTGTATTTAAATGAAATTGCATCACACAGAAGTCATTAAAAAACAAAAAATATTTTATTTCATGCATTTCATGTACACAATTTATAAATTCATTCCAATGGAGAAAACACTTATCTGTTGCACAGTTGAGCCTGACAGTTTTTGATTACTACATAAGAAGTTACCACAAACTTGATAGCCCAAAACATTACCATTTATTTGCTTACATTTCCTTAGTCAGAAATCTAAGCATGATATGCATGGATTCTCTCTTCAGGATTTCATAAAGTTGTGGTCTCATCTCAAGTATCCTCCAAACTCACACAATGCTGTGGGCAGAATCCCATTTCCTGCACGTTTAGGGCTGAGGTCCCTCTCTCCTTGCTGGCTGTCAGGGAGAGAGGGGGAGGACTACTGGCAACTTGGTGACCACTTAGCCATAWCCCCAGCCCGATTTTGTATTTTATTTAGAGACAGGGTTCACTGAGTTGCTTAGCACCTTGCTTTTCCTGAGGCTGGCTTTGAACTCACAATCCTCCTGCCTCAGCCTCCAGAGCTGCTGGGATTACAGGCATGCCCCACCGCACCTGACTTGCCCCTCCATTTTCAAAGCCCACATTTAAGAAGATCTCTCACACTGAATCCTTCTCACACAATGGATCTCTTCTCTCAGGAAGAGCTTGGTCCTTTTAAAGGATCACCTAGTTAGGACAGTCCCCTTGTTAAGGTTAACTGATTTGAGACTGTAATTTCATCTGCAAAAATCCCTTCACAGTAGCAAATACCTTAGCATTTGATTGATTGAAGAAAGGTGGCTAACTGGGGTGGTGTTAGGGTCCATCACAAAATCAGACTAACATAGCCAGATTCTTACTTTTTTGTGTAATTGAGTCACAGCTGGATCATGAAAGTCAAATAAATAGATGTTTGAGAATAATAATAAATTACATCCCACTTAGCTGTGAAAAATCTTAAATCCAACTGACATGTTAAATATCATTTAACTGACACGGTTTATTTAGGGCAAATAAAAAAGTACAATGATTTAATCTTTCCTTAGAATCTATATTACTTATCTACTGCTATATAACAAACTACCCAAAACTTGGCAGCTGGAAACATGGAACATTATCTCCCTCAGGGTGTGATGGTCAGGAATCCAGGAGAGGTTCCTTGAGTGCTTCTGGCTCAGGGTCTCTCACAAGGTCGCAGTCATCAGCCAAGGCTGCATCCTTTGAGGACCTGACTGGCACTGGGGGCTCCCAAGGAGCATGGCTCCTTCATATGGCTGTTGGAGAGGGCTCAGGTACTTGCTAGCTGGTCCCAAGAGGCCTCCATTCCTAGTCACCTGGACCTTTCCACAGGCTGCTCATGACTCAACAGCTGGCATCCCCAGAGCTAGGGATCCAAGAGACAGAAAGAACCAAAATGAAAACTGCAATGTATTTTAATCTTACACCCAGAGTCATAACCCATTACATCAACCTTATTCCATCACACAGAGGCGAGTTGGCAAGTTCAGGCCATACTCCATTATAGAGATGGGAATAAGCTGCCTCTCTGCAAGGGAGGTCATCAAAGTGTTTGCATATGTTAAAACCAAAATTAAAGCCAGATATTGTGATACATGCATGTTATCCCACTACCGGGGGGTCTGAAACAGGAGGATCACAGGTTCAAGGCCAGCCTGGGCAACTTAGCAAGTCCTTGCCTCAAAATAAAAATTTTTTAAATTAATTTATTTATTTTTTGAGACAGAGAAAGAGAATACATCTTTGTTTGTATGTGGTGCTGAGGATCGAACCCGGGCTGCACGCATTTCAGGCAAGCGCGTTACCRCTTGAGCCACATCCCCAGCCCCAAAATAAAATTTTTAAAAGGCTGAGGGTATTACTCAGTGGTAGAGTGGTAGCATGCAGGAGGCCCTGGGTTCAATCCTTAGTGACACACAYACAAAAAAAAGCCACAAAATATTGTTTCAAGACTCTGTAAATCAAATGCTCTCATCAAAATTTTTAATAGTAATATTTCTTTTGGGAAAGCCATAGTTAAAAGTTTGAGACAGAGAAAGGTGATGAAACACTGTCTCTGAGTCTTGCAAACATCTTTAATAAAAATACTCTATTAGTTTAAATAAAACTGAGAACATAAACTAGATCAAAGTTTCAAGACTTATGTCATAACAATAATGCTTTTATAATAATTATTATTTCCCTATGATGTTTCATATTTACTTTATGTATGCCAAAAATACAACAAAAAGGAAAAGAAATCCCTGKAAACAAAAAGAATATATAGTAAGGTTGCAGGATACAAGGTTAATATATAAAATTCAATCACTTTCCTATATACCAGTAAGGAATGAGTGGAAATTGAGAAGCAAAACTTGATACCATTTACATTAGCACTCCCTAAAAGTAAAATACTTAGAGCTTGTTCTTCTGCCCCTTGGTGTACGTGTGTTCTTTCTTGGGGATCAAACCTAAAGGCCTCACATGTTAGGCAACTGCTTACCAATGAGCTACACTTCAATTTAATACTTARGTACAATCTCATCTTAGGTTACAAATCTAAGTATGTATAAAAGCAAAACTACAAAACTCTGATGAAAGTCATCAACTAAAAAATACAGTATATTCCATGTTCATGAATAAAACAAATATTGTCATTGTAATTTTTCCCAACTGATCAATCCCAATCAAAATCTCAGCAAGTTATTTTGTGGAAATTGRCAAACTGGTTTAAAGTTTATATGGAGAGGAAGAAAATCTAGCTAATACAATGTAGAATAAAAACAAAGTCAAAGGACAGTCACTACCTGACTTTAATAATCATGACTATGTAGTAATTAGTACCACATTGGTAGCCTTTATTAAAAACAGTATGGCGTTTCCCCACACACAAAAAAATTAAAAATAGAATGACTGTATGATTCAACAATCCTACTAGTGAGTATATATCCAAAGGTACGAAATCAGTGTCAAAGACATCTGTTACCATGTTGATTGCAGCATTATTTACAATAGCCAACATATAGACTAAATCAACTTGTGTTGATATATCAGCAGATGAAGAAAGAAAATGGGGTTTATATACACAATGAAATACTATTAAGCCTTAAAAAAAAAAAAAAGGAAATCCTATCATTTGTGATAAGAATGAACCTGGAAGACATTAAGTGAAATAAGCCCAGCATAGATGATTTCACTTATAGAGAGARAAAAAAATCAAATTTATGTAGACAGCAAACTGGTGGTTACTATAGGTTAAGCGATGGGACAATTGTGGTGATRCTAGTTAAAGACCAAAATTACAGTTACATAGGAAGAAATGAGTTCAAGAGATATTTTTTATCTCATGGTGACTAAACAATATACTGATATAGTTGAAAACTGCTGACAGTGTTCTTGTTACAAAATAAAATGGTATATATGTGTGATATATGCTAAGTAACTTGAGTTAGCCATTTTCAATGGATACACTTACCAAAATATCATGTACATCATAAATACAAAATTTTTGCCAACTGAAATGATTTTTAAAATACACTGCTGTAACACCAAAAAAATAAATGAATGTGTGGAACAGAATGGAGAGACAACAGACCCACCTAGATACAAAGGAGCAAAGACAGTTCAGTGGAGAAAATAGTCTTTTCAACAAAGGGTGCTGGACCGGACATCACATGCAAGAAAAAGTGAAATGAGAAAGGCTCTCTTGAAAGGTTGCTATGAACATCAACTGTTGACAGGAACAAAAATGTGCCCAGCTAGTTGTTTTGACACTTATTTTCACATAAATACAATGAGTGCACCTCTATATCTCTAAGTCCCCATCTGCATGTTTCACAAGACATAAATTCATGTCAGTCACTCCATCACTCTGGTCCCGTCAATCCTCAGTAGGGTGCGATATTGAAGGGGTCTTCAGAGACCAGAATTTTCATGATTATGACTCCAAAACATTCAGGAATGACAAAAGGTAAATATATACACTAACATAAAAGTAGGCAATCCGGTTTATACATATTTATCTTCACTCCATTTCTATGATTCACAGTCCATTCAACAAATTTCAACCAACCCAAATCCCAGAACTTTCTTTAGTTCACATAGATGAACAAAGCCAAAATTCAGACTATTTTGTCCGTGGCTTAGGAATACCTACTGTAAATTATTGTAGGTTAGTCCACTTTTATGAGTGCATAACCTAAAGCAGATGGTTGAAATGTCTGCTTTTCAAGAAGGGTTATTTAATGTATCATTTAGATTACCCTGCAGAAATGTCATGGTTTGTTTTCCTGAATAGCTGCTGAGCTTGCTTTTAACTGACAAACATGGTTAGGTTAACTTCAACGTTGGTGAGATTCACATGTACTAGTTTCACATATCTGTAATAACAGTACTTTGAGCCTATTTTCCAGTAATTAAGACTTTAAGCCATTGCAAATTCAAATATGAGAACCTTGTCACTAAGAAACAGAGAAAACCATTCTCCCTTTTACAGTTTTGCCTCTTTTTACACTAGGAAACAAGTCAGCTGACAAACTGAGGTGTTCCGCCTCATCAAAATGCATTTCAGCCCAAGCTTGAGCAGCAAGGACCTCCAGAAAACTCTCCCTGTCGGGCTTCTGGACTCCTCAGCCATCTTCCCTGTTTCCAAATAGTGAGTTGGTTAGCAGTTGGTTAGCAACTGCCTTCTGAGGACCTTCCATTTCCCACATGATCAAAATATAGATCCCCCTGAGCCACCACTGCCCACAGGAATATGCCTGGGGTCTCCAGCCACAAGAGACACTTTAGAACACACTGCAGGACACCTACCATCTGTATACAGGTTCACACTGTGTGGACAGGTTTATGTATAGGTGCCAAGGGAGACTTCACTAGCTCAACAAAGCTTGATACCTTTACTAGTGTCACACTGTCATAAGCAACAGGTGATACAAAGGAGCCTGATCTAACTAAAGGCAACCCCTACAACACATACTGCAAAACAGGACAGGAAAAAAGGTCATTCTGGGCCAACAAAATTAGAGAAAGGTAAACAATCCTAGTTAGTTTTCTCATCTAAAAACCAGTGACGTAATTCCTGTTACAGCATTGAGGGAGAAATTAGAAGATAGTGCTAGCAGAAACAAACTCAAGACATGGTAGGCTAGGCATTCTAAACCAAATTCTGTCTAAACTGACAGGAACATGTTCATACCAGGACTCTTGTTCCTASACTGTTCAGCCAGGCTAGGAAGGTGGAGGCAAAGAGGGTCAGGCAGGGGCGGGTCCCTGGGCGGGACAGGCACTCAAGTGAGGCCAAGGCCTGGAGACAGCCAGTTCCTGGTGGTTGTTGGGCAGCTCAAGACAGCTCCCTGCCTCACCAGCCATGGTCCTCCCTCTGGCCTGGATCACTCAGTACTGTCGCCTTCGCCTCCTATTGCCCTTCTGGGTCCTGGGCCCCCAAGGATCCCAAGGGCGCTATTTCCAGAATCCCAAAAAAAGCATGGAAGAACAGACCAGCTCCTCAGTTGGTGGGAAGATGAGGTCACCTGCCAGGGTAAGTGGCAAAGGTGGGAGGAGTGTGCAATTTGTATGGGGGGCTGGGGGTTGTGGCTAAGTGGTAGAGCACTTGCCTGGCATGTGCAAGGTGCTGGGCTTGATCCTTAGCACCACATAAAAATAAACAAACAAAATGAAGGTCTTATGTCAAACTAAAAAAATAAAATGATTTGTATTAAAATAAAACGATTTGTATTAGGGTAAGGAATAGAAAAAAAATGTCCAGTTTATGCTGTACCCATCAAACCCTGCAGTCCTTGCCTAATTTTAACTCAACTCCTTCCCACCCCCACACTAACCTAGATCTCAGGGTTCCCTCTCTCCTTGAACAGGAATTTCCCCCTCATCTAACAGTTAATTATTTCCTAGGGAGGAGGGACAGTTAGTCCTCTCGTCCATAAACCTTTTTAAGGCAGCCCCTGAGCCAGTGATATCTACCTAATCCCCTTCCCCCCCAGCACGTCTTTGATAGAGGAAGCTACCTGAGCTTCAGAGATGACCTTAACTAATAGGGTATTTAAAAAAAAAAAAAAAAAAGACAGAATTCTTGAATTCCAGCCACACTCTGCAACACAGCTTCCCAGTGCCTTAGCCCCCAATCGTGGCTGATGCTGCTGCCTCCCCCAATTCCTGCTTCACCCAGGAACCTTGGCCCCACCACAAAGCTGAGCTGACTCAAGCTGAAGAGTTGCTGGAGCAGCAGCTGGAGGTGTACCAGGCCCTACTGGAAGGGCAGGAGGGAGCCTGGGAAGCCCAGGCCCTAGTGCTCAAGATCCAGAAGCTGAAAGAACAGATGAAGAGACACCAAGAGAACCTGAGAGGACATGCCTAAGCTTCCCACAAGTGCCCGCATAACCCTCCAAAACCAGAAATACTGCCCAGCACCCTGCAATGGGCCCTTTCAGAAACATTCCAGCCCACCAAAAAATGAAGACAACTCTACAAGGGTCCAAAAAACTGGAAAGTAGTTGAGGAGCCATGGCCTATGCAGGCTTGTTCTCACTTTGACCCCACTCTACACCAGGGTACTCAGAACTGAGAATATTTAGGATTAAGCCCTAAATAACTTTACCGTAAGCAATAAAGGATGGAGCACTTACAGATACCACAGACACATTTGTGTTTCATTTTTAGTTTTGTTAAAAAAAATTCTGATAAATCAGGAATGGGGTTTAGGAGTGGTGGTGATGCAAAAGAAGGAAGCCTTGGGGAGGGGTGGGGGCTGTCGGGGCAGGTGGCAGTAGTGTCTCCTTCACCCCCACACCTGGTGTCCTCTCCTGAAGAGATAGACCGTCACATTCCAGAATGGGTGAATCCTCTACCGCGTCTGTTCAACTGAAGACAAAACAAGGCAGTTAAAATAAGGCACACAAAGGGGAAACCAACACAGAAACACACAGGTACATACATGCAGATGTTTGTGTACCATGTAGATTGAGAGGACAGACTCAGGAGTACAGAAAGAAATCCTTTGAAGAAAAAAAGACCCCACAAAAATAGTAAATAAAACACCCCAATCAGTATCAAAGATCAAGGGACAAGAAGCCATCAAAGGGCCACCAATAAGGCATCAGGTGACCACTACCTACATAAAGGATTCAAGATATACACAATAAGAACAAGGAAAATCTAAGAGCTGGGGGAGCCAGTTTCCTGAGCTCCATACTCACTGTAGGAGGAGATGTCTATCTCATCAGGCAGCTCACTGATGTTGACCTCAAAGCGGTCCTGCACGTCATTAAGAATCTTGGCGTCATTCTCATCTGACACAAATGTGATAGCCAAGCCCTTGGTGCCAAAGCGACCTGCTCTGGCCACCTGGAAGAAAAAAAGTAAAACTGGAAGACCCTAAAGATGGAAGATGCCTCAAGAATAGGAATATGTAATGTACAAAAAAGGCTGGGCACAGTTGTACACGCCTGTACAGGCAGAGGAAGAAGGATAGCCAAGTTAGGGGCCAACCTCGGCAACTTAGTGAGACCCTGACTCAAAGTGGGAAAAAAGGGCTAGGACGTGGCCCAGTGGTTAAGTGCCCCTGTGGTCAATCCTTGGTAGGATTCCATCCCCTCAAAAAAAAAAAAAAAATCTTAAAGAAAAAGATACATAAAATAAGGGTATGGAAGAGTGGGGTATCCTGGATGTGGTACTTACCCGATGTAGGTAGGTGTCAGAATCCTCAGGCATGTCATAGTTAAAGGCAATGTTCACCCGCTCAATGTCCATGCCTCGGCCAAATAGGTTGGTGGCCACAAGAATCCGTCGTTGAAAATCTTTAAACTGCTGATACCGAGAAAGCCTTTGTGAGAAAGGAAATTAGGAAAATGTTGAGGTCCCCTTCTCTCAGTGGTTCACTTTTTCCCCAAGGTCACAAAGTTGTTCTCCAGCTCCAACTTACCTCTCCTCCTGAGGCATCCCACGATGGATGGCAATGGCTGGAAAGTTCTGCTCTACTAGGAGCTGGGCCAGGGCGATGCACCGCTGCACAGACTTCACAAAGATCACCACCTGTATGGGAGGGGTGGTGCATGAGAGTGAGGGGGTACATAGTATTTAAAAGAAATTACACATGTGGCAGAGTTTTTAATAACCTTACTCATCTAAAGGAATTCCTCTCAGTCCCTATTATACCCTATCATATTTTTCCTTTTCTGTTCTAAATACAATTTAGCCTTTCTCTCYAAGTTCTGATGATTTCTAGGTAGGCTGACCTCTGAGGTGGTGTGGAGAATAATCATCCAAACTGGCAGACATGCTATGAGACAAGGATAAGGCCATCTCATAGATAAATGCTAAAAGTTACAACAAAGTTCTAGGAAGACCACAACTAACATTCCTACTTACCAAAAGACTAAGGGGCTTACCCTAATTCTAGTAGTCTCTAGAGCAAAGTCATCACACACCAGGTAAACTGATGGGTTGCTTCTCCTCAACAAGGAGTACAAGAAATAAACCAATAAAACAACYCTAAATGCCTAGAATAGCTCAAGATTTTTACAAACTTCCTAAAACCCTTCAAAAATTTTACTTTGGGAGCTGAGCACGATGGTGCAGGCCTGAAATCTCAGCAGCTGGGTAGGCTAAGACAAGAAGATCACAAGCTCAAAGCCAGCCTCAGCAACAGCAAGGCGCTAAGCAACTCAGTGACACCCTATCTCTAAAAAGAATACAAAAAAAAATAGGGCTGGGCATGTGGCTCACTGGTTGACTGCCCAAGTTTAATCCCCTCTACCAAAAAAAAAAAAAAAAAAAAAAAAAACTACTTTTGGGGGTTTATTTTACTTGACATCTTCATTATTTATCCCACAGTCACAGAACACCTTGCTCATGCTCAGTCCCCAAAAAACATTTATATTCCCATTTATGAGAATGTCTCTACCATTCTCTCCTCTTATGTGGCTCCCTCAACACACCTTGGTCACAGGTTTCTGCTATGTCACAGGTTTCTGCTATAACTTGTTATGTATCCAATGCTCATCACTCTACTGGACCTTGAACACTGACCTGGTTGAACTCAAGGACATCCAGAAGGTCAAAGAGTTTCCGGTTCTTCTCGTTGTCCTTCAGTTTCACGTAGTACTGCTGCAACCCATGCAGCGTCAACTTCGTCTCATCATCCACGAAGATCTCCATTGGCTGAGGGGGAGGAAGGGGGTGGGGAACGGGAGGAGGGCAGAGTGGGGGGGTTAAACCTGGGGGGGTGGAGGAAGTTGATCTCCAAAACACCCCATGGGGGGATGGGGAGAAGAGAAAAGATTGAAAACCCCACCCCACCACTAAAAATACCCAGTTTTACTGTGGTCTTTTTCACACTAGATCTAATTTCCTTCCTTCCTATCAGTTGAGTTTTAAGATAGCCCAATTGAAAACTATCAGGGGAAAAAGGAACTTTGCAAAGTAATGGAGCAGTGAAACCATCCAATGACAAAACACCATTACCTCAAATGGAGGTGGTGAAAGAAAGAAAATAGGTGACATTCAAAGAGATGATATGATTCAAATACCTTAGAAATGATGGGGAACAGTGACTCAAGGTCAGAGTAATTCCATCAGAGCTGGTTATTAAGAACATGGGGGAGATAACAAGGAATGCTCCATTTTCATTGTCTCTCAACTAAGAGAATCTTATACACATTAGAAAGTGGATGTCTTTAAGATCAGAATGGCTGTAATGGATCTAGTCAAAAAGTCCATTTAAGAACCAAAAATTACTCAAGACAAGTATATTATATGGAATAGTTTTAGATGAGACTGGTCTCTAATAGTCAAACCATCTACAGTTTGGTTTACATGGACAGCACTAGTAAAGGGTGCTTAAAAAAAAAAAAAGCAGCAGATAGCATTTATCTTTAAAATTGAAAAAAAAAATTTTTTTTAACCACACACACACACACAACCCTTGAAGGGGAGGAAAGCAGCGTAAAAAAAGACATAAGAAGCYGACACAAGACAACTCTATAGCCAGACTTTCCTAACACTCTCCCTACCATCTTGGGGGACCTAATTAATGTATAGACCCAGAGATCAAGATGGGCAAGGATGTGTGTGTGTTTGGGGGGAAAAAACTAATCCAGAAGCCGAATCCCAGAAGGCAGGCTAGCAAATCATGCTTTTCAAAGAGAAATTCCAAGGCCGCCTTCAAATCTAATTCTAACCCCAAGTGCAACTAAAGAGAAAGTTATTTCAAGGGAAGGAGCACTGCAGGGAGGAGAGGAACATACTCCACTGCTCAAACAATGGGCTCCCCCAAGCCCCAACCCTAACACCCATCTGATTACATCAAGTGGAAATCTCCACTTTACCTTTCCCATATCCCTCTCCTCTGAATATTGAAAAATAATTTTTTAAAAGAAAAAAAAATCCACCACCCATTCAGGAGACCCCACCCCCAACACATATGGGGGAGAATGGGGCACAGCACGTGTTAGGTTCAGGAAAAAAACCGGGAACGGAAAAAGAGGCTGGTTTGGTCCTCAGCTTCCTGGTCAGGTTTCCCCGCGGCCTCCGCTGCCGCCATCCACAGCTCGGTGCCGTCCGCATTCCCTCGTCGTGCCACGGTGCTTCTCTGCTGCCGGCTCACATCGACCGAGGTTCCGATGGGTGCAAGGAGGTATGGGTGGGAAGGAGTAGGGGACTGGGGACTGAGGTGCCAGAGGCCCCCACCCCTGGAGGTGGGGAGGGGGCAGATTCATTTGTGTTGTTTGCTCTTCTTCTGGACATGCCCTGCAATCTGTCTGTCCCTCTCTTACTCTCCTACCACCGGGAGTTATGAGTTTTGATGAGCAGAAACTCCAGCTGTATGCTTGATGTCACCTTGGGGTGCGTGGCTGTAAGGGGTATGTAGGAGATGATGGATGAATGGGTGGTAGGGCAGAAAATCCTGCCCTCCCCCAAAAGGGAGAAGAGGTTCAAAAACGCTGGGATTAAAAAAATGTCGAACTCTACCCGCTCTCACGTTAACCCGACCAAGTCTTCCGGAGTTTCCCTGGCACCCGCGCAGACCCTAACACTAGCTGTCTCTGCCTCTGTGTGTCTCTTCAAGGAGTTGTTGCTCCCAGACGGGCAAAAGCCCCCTTCTTGGCACTTGAAGGACAAGGGAGTCTGGAGGAAGAGGGCGAGGAAGGGGAGGAGGCAGTGGGCGGGGAGTGGAGGGAGAGAAGGTAGAAGGGTATTTACATCTTGCATGAACTTGCGGCAGACTGGACGGATCTCTTTGCCCAAGGTAGCACTGAACATCATGACCTGCTTCTCATGGGGGGTCATGCGAAAAATTTCCTGGACATCCCGACGCATGTCTACAAGAATGAGAGATTAAATAGACATCTGTGATAATGATCAGAAACAGACTTCCCAGTGAGGTGACTACTGGAAATGGATAAGGAATCATTTCAGGGAAAGATGACTTCAGGTCTCTCTACTTTCTCCAACAACTCTAAAATCAAATAGTAATAACAATGGAAAACACAATGACTACAGAATAAAGACTTGGGATCAGGTTCCAGCTGCTCTAACCAAGCAAGAAATACGATGAAGCCCTAAAGTTCAAGACAATACAACAGACACAAAGCCCGCTACAAAGGCTCACAAGGACAGGGTCTTTTAAATATGCTTTATAGGCCCTTGTCCCAATTCCTTTTTACCCAAGTTCCAAGTTCTAGCAGTATACAAGTACTGAGCACTTATTACATTCTAAATGTCAGTCCATTCCATGCCTCCTCTGAATCACACTTTCCTACACTGTCAAGCAAATATAACATCTCTACATCTATCTTATAGCTCACCACCTTGAATAGTCAAAGATCATTTAGAATGACTTGTCTGGGTCTATATCCATTCCCATTCTCCCATTCTTCAAAATTTGGTCTTACAGAAATTTTTTCTTTTATTAACCCCACTTAGCACACTAGAATACCACACCACACAAACTCCCACAAACACTCACCACATTAATCCTAGAACTTAAGTCTAGAAACCTATTCAGCTATAAATTCTGATCACATATGCTGTGCTGGGGATGCCAGAGGGTGGACTGTCTCCTCCTTCAGTTTAACATCTCTCCCATGACACTCAGTATAGGAATCTATAAAGAAAAGGGTGGTGGTGGTGACTTTTATCTAAGATTATCACAGACCCCTACTCTCAAAGAACATCTATTATAGAAAGAATACCAAAGGGCTAAGGCTATAACTCAGAGGTACAGCATGTGCTTAGCATGCATGAGACCCTAGGTTTAATCCCAGCACAAAAAAATAACAAAAATAGTCCAGGGAACTCAGAGCCATCAGTCATGGGTGATAGATTAAGAGTCGTCCTTGCACCGAAGTGCTCCAGTATCAAATAAACATCATTTGGCTCCAAAGAGCAACTCCCCAGACCACACGACCCCATCCCAGCACTACCACTCACCGAGCTGGTCAAGCATCTTATCACATTCATCCAAGATAAAGTGTTTAATATGTTTGAGGTTGAGGCTCTTATTTCGAGCCAGGGCTAGGATGCGGCCAGGAGTCCCCACGACGATATGCGGGCAGTTCTTCTTCAGCACCTCTTCATCCTTCTTGATAGACAGACCACCAAAAAAAACTGCAACCTGCAAGTCAGAATAAAATAGTCTCACAAAGAAGGAAAGAGTCCATCCTCCCCAGAGTTTCCATGCTTTCAGCTAAATCTAAACTGGCAGGACATTTCAGTACTAAAACCAACTTTAGTGATCAAACATTGAGGCTAAGAAACAACAGTGACTTGCCCAAAGTTACATGATTAATGGAGGCAATCAGGGCTAGCAGTTTTTCTGCCTTAGCCCATTATGTCCCATCATCCTATACAAAGAGCATCAATAAAAACTTAAATTAAGCATTTTTATAGGTGTCCTAAATACAGGAAAAACAGGGCATAAGGGCTTAACCATATACCCTCATATGACTCTAAGGCCAGACTTCATGTTAAGAATAAGGACAGCAAGAAATCACCAGTATCAAGTTCCACAAAAAGCACATGGAACACCAAGCTTTCCCAACTGGACCAGCACACAAACCCTACACAATTATCGATTTGAGCTAAATCTATTACTCCATGTTTAAACTTTAAACCATCAGGTAAGTAACACAGAAATTGCTATCTAGTTTCGAGGGGGAAAAGAACAAGAAATCAAAATGAAAAAGCCATGGACCAGGGATATAGCTGAGATAGTGTGCTTGCCTAGAATGTGAGAGGCCCTTAGTTCAATCCTCAGCACTGAAGGAGGGGAGGGGACTCAAATTGTCATAACCCTAACTCTACAGTAAATCTGTTTCTTCCCTGGTRTAAATCTAAAATCACTAATGCAAGATCAACCAGGTTTGTGAAAAAATCAGAGGTACAGCATTGCCCATAAAGGACTCTTGCCAAAAACTTTTGGCAATGTTCTTGCTCAAATCAATCAGTTGAACTTTCAACTATAAATTTTTGTTTTTATAAGAAATACTGGGAGGAGGGCTGGGGCCGTGGTTCAACGGTAGTGCACTTGCCTGGCATGTATGAGGTATTGGGTTCAATTCTCAGCACTGCGTATAAATAAATAAGAGTCTATGAATAACTAAAAAAAAAAAAAAAAAGGAAATACTGGGAGCAAACAAATGGCTAAACATGATATGAGAGTAACCAGTTAAATCTAGAATGGGACATTCTGTAGAACTGACCAAGCTTCTTCAACAAGTCATTTTAACCATCAGGAAAGGAGATATTGCTAAGGATCAAGTCCTCAAGCATGCYAGGCAAGCACTCTGCCACTGAGCTGTAACAATTTAACACTCTATCACTGAGCTATAAGACCTCAGCCCTCACTGTAACAATTCTAAACAGAAATAAGTAAAGTAAGAGTTAAATAATGACAATTCTTTTTTTTTTTTTCACCCTTTTAACACAGGGTTGTGCCTAATTGTCCAGGTTGACCTCAAACTCTGAGGCTCAAGTGATTTTTTCCTGTTTCACCCTCCAAGTAGCTGGGACTACAAGAATGCATCACTTGGCCCCGTGTCATATTTGATTCTGACACCAAGTGTTTTTTTTTTGTTTTTTTTTTTTTGACTGATACCAAGTGTTTTAAGGGTGACATCAAGTGTTTTAAGGGTGATGATGAGCTAGGCCTACAGAGGTGACTCTCACTACGGAACTCAATAGTAAATAGTTCTAACAACCTAAACAGTTTTCTGGTTTGCAACTTTCAGACTCCACCTACAGATTAGACTGCTTAGTAAAAGGACAGAATATAAACCTATTCATTCCGGCAACATAATAAAAGATATATTCCTAACATACATATATACTATACTACATATACAGGGCCTTCAGACTGTATTTAAAGAATYAACATAGCTTTCAAAATACCCAGAGGAAAAGTAGTATAAACAAGACAAATAATGTTTCATGAAAAGAAGTCTGAAAGCCTAGAACTGACTAATTAATAGTGCCTAATACTTGATTACACAGAACCATGAGGATTTTTTTTTAATGGTTAAGAGATTACTGTCCGTGAAATAGGATTACAGATGGGAGAGCACAAATTTTCTCATTATAAAACCTAAACTACTTAAACATTTTTATCATGCACTATTTCAGTTTTTAAGAAATTATTTTCAGTTTTAGGCTATGACTCAACATTCCTAGTTTCTTTAAAATGTGAAATAATAAATGGGTAACGATTTGAACAAAAGTAGTTTTTCACTCTAACCTAGAACAGTGTTATCTACATCAGTGTCTCTCAACCTCCCATCACATAAGGATCATGTTAGAACATTATTTCCATACATAATTAGGTCTGGGACAAAACCCATATACTCTGTATTTCCACCAAGTTCCCAAAGGATGCTGAAGCTATTGATATTGGAACCACAACATAAATATTAATGACATATAATAGAAAACAAATCAACTCTGTTGCAGCCCCCTCATCTTTCGATTTTCTGCCATTTTAAAGAATTCTCAAAATTCACACAATATATTGCAGCTTTCTTTTGCTTTTAGAGCTTCCTCTTGCCACACCCCCCAAAATTCTCAAAACTTACCAAACACACTAAAATGATTCAAATTCAGTGTAAAGTATGAAGTAGTCCATGGTAAGCATTATCCATCAACCCAATCATGAGTTCTCATACTATAGTGTATTTACCCTGTATTACACCAAAGCAAACTAAAGCCTCTTCAAAATTAATAACAAGCATCTCTGAAAATATAACGTAAATCCAAGAGTTCCATATTTTAGTAATATATCTAATACACCCTAAGTCTGCAGAAATTTACTATCAGTTATGTGTTTGCTGAGGTTCTTGTACAGGTGTTTAACATCTGTGGAACAGAAACTGTTGATCTACAAGTTTCAGGTGCCTATAACTCCCCATACCCTCATTTTCTCATGTTTCTTTACTCTGGCTTACCTTGACATTGGGCATGTATTTAGAAAAGCGCTCATATTCTTTGCTGATCTGAAAAGCCAACTCCCTAGTGTGACACATCACCAGCACGGACACCTTGAGAGAGAAATAAATAGAGATAAATAAAATTAAGTACATACCTCTTTGTTATCCCCTCAGACAAAGAGATTGTCAMAAAAGCACATGTGACATTTATAAATGACTTCAATTTCTAAGACTTAAATCGTTAAGCTCACGCTTACTGCAGAACACTCCCCCTAGTTGTCAAGGATGATAAGAGGTCATCTAAATGAGAGAAGTGAATCTGAAACTGGGCCAGAAACATTTCCCACATATCCCTAACCAAAATGCTTTCCCCAACACTCTCCCTAAGTATACCTGTCCAGTAACTGGCTCCAGCTGTTGCAGTGTGGCCAACACAAACACTGCTGTCTTTCCCATGCCTGATTTGGCCTGGCACAGGACATCCATTCCCAGAATGGCCTGAGGGATACATTCATGCTGGACTAGAAGAAAAAAAGAAAGAAAAATTTAGAATGCAATCCCAAGTAACTCCATAACCATTCCAAATTCATTTCTTCCCACTCAATTCCGAAAGTATTTACCTGATTCTTGCTAACTTTCAAACCCTTTCAACCTCTCTCTGTTCCCTCAATCACATTATATCCCAAAATGAAATCCTCCTTGTTCCTTCCAGACCTCACCTCCTCCAGGTTCAGGCCACCCCAGTGATGCTAACAACTCTCTTAAATCTACCAACAGCTCACCTTCAGTGTTTCTGGCTCTGTATTTTTCTTAAACTGTAACAATATTTAAATGCCTGCCACAGACCATTTCTCCTACTTAAGTTAACAATATTTAAATGCGATATTTAAATGCCTGCCACAGACCATTTCTCCTACTTAAGTTACATACTTTGGGTCTCATAACCCTACAATCTTAAACAAAACGGATTTATTACCTGACCCAGACCAGTCATAAAATTTCTAAAGACCAAAGTTGGCCTGACCCAAAAGTGGAAGGTCCAAACAGACCCTTTCTGGAAGTCTTAAAAAAAAAAAAAAAAAAAAAAAAACTTTTTTGAGAATTTTTTAAAAATATTTTTTAGTTGTTGATGGACCTTTATTTTATTTATTTGTATGTGGTGTTGAGAGTTGAACCCAGTGCCTCACGCATGCTAGGCGAGCAGGYTACTATTGAGTCACAACCCCAGCCCCTGGAAATTTAAAATTAATGGTCAAAATAACAAAGTTAAAAAACAAGCAAACAAGAAAAACCAGACACAAAAATAAAAAGCAAGCTTCTAAATTGTTTTTGGATCACTAGCACTTTCATGCTATCATGAAAGAAAAGCCTACACAGCCTCTTCTGATGTTAAGATCTTTTTTGGTACTTATTTCCTGGTCTAGTCCAAACATAAATCATTACCACCTGAGGAATCATAAGCACATCCTTTCCTTGTATCACCAAAGAGCCTAATGAATAATCCTTTTCTTTGTATCCCCCTAAAGAGCCTAATGTATACTCTATGACCAACAGAAAATTTACCTTCTGATGGATGCTCAAAGCCACAGTCAACAATAGCCCGGAGTAACTCTGGCTTGAGCAAGAAGTCCCGAAAGCCAGAGCTATGGATGGAGACATAGGAGCCCTTGACATCCTTCTTGGCAGGAGCCTCAGCTCCATCTCCCCCAGCTGCCGTTTCCACCTCATCATCTTCATAGTCCAAGAGCTCATTGTCCACATCATTCTCTGCCATAATTGGGCCGGCAGGGGGAGAAGGGGAGGGGTCTCTCGATGAGTTCTCCCAGAACAGGTGAAAACAAGGGGAAAGAGAGGGGCTTGATAAAGGGCAAAAGAAAAGGTACTAGTTTCTGATAGAAGAGCTGAGTGGGGAAAACAGACAAAAAACTTATCAGTCACTAGCAGACTTTCACCACCTCTTTCCCACTGCCACACTTTCTACTTTCCCTGAACTGTGAACCCTTTATCTGTTAAGGAACAGATATAAAACATAAAAATAAAAGACAAATATAATGAAAAATATTCAGGGAATATTGTTTCCAAAAAGATTGAGCTCACAGTAGCAGAAACCAGTTAGTTTGACAGGGGAAGACCAATGTATACATTTGTAATTGTAAATAACAATGAAAAAAAAAAAAACAGATCATTAAAAGGTGACTATGACTAAATAAGTTTCCTTATAATCTCATGGTGTCCATTCCTAACAGCAGCCATCAGTCAAGGGTGATAGATTAAGGTCAGCACTGCGCAAAGCGCTCACTTCTCGAAATGAAAACATCATGTGGCTGCCAATCACCTCCTACACCTCTCCAGTATCTCGCGCCTAAGAACCCTCCTTCAGTTGCTTAACAAACCTATGTCATTAACACTGAGGAGCAGGCCTAAGTGAAATAGCTCAGAAACAAAAAATAAAAATGGGCTTGGGTGTAGCTCAAGGGTAGAGCAAGACCAGCACCGCAATAAAAAATGTGTGTGTATATATATATATATATCAGAAAATATAATCAGAAATATAATAATGATAGAAATATAACAAGCTTTAACAGAATGTTTACCAAGTGGTCTCACATCACTCTTGCGTTGCTACCTCCACAAGACGCATTTCTAAGAAACACAATGACACTACCAATAAACATTTGGAAAGCCTCCAAATTAAAGTGGGTAAATCGAGGTGAGAAAAATCCAACTGGGCCCATAAACGTGCTCCTCCTCCTCATCCCACAGGGGGCCCAAAGACCCAGAAGAAAGGTGAGAAGAGCCCCGCCCTCCACCAATGCCCGGGACCAGAATAAGCCTAGCGCCGCCTCTCGACGTCGCTGGGGCCTCGGGAAGCGAGGGACCCACTGGAAGAGCTGGGAGCAAAAGGGACACAATGGCGCCTGGGCCACCATCTTGGATTGTGCCCCCCTTGTTTCCCTGCCTCCCCCTAGGAGCTCGGCGCTCTCGAAAAGAATAGAAACAAAGAAAATAACTACCCAACCAGGCCCCAGTGACCAGATCATCGCTTGTGGAAGGGGTATCAAGAATCCATGTGATAGGATGACCAGGGAGAAGCGCAGATGGAGGCGGATGATAGCAAAGGCCAAAGCTTACCAGAGCAGGGCGAGCGCGTATGGCGGCAGCAACAGCGACGAGGGAGGGAATCTCTCTTCACTTCCGGTTCCAGGCTTCCCTCAACCCTAGCCTCCCGCCGTCTCGGCTGCCAGAGCGCAGGCGCATGGTGCCGGAAGAAGGACCTTTCGCTGTTCTTTACCTCCGCGCGCTCTGGGGTTGCCTTTGGAAAATGCCTGTCAGAAAAAATGTTAAAGCCCTTTCTAACTCCTCCGTTACTGCCAAAATCAAGACATAAGGAGACTAACTTCTCTTCCTGCTGTTATTTGTCCACTCCTACTCACGCCCCTCATCTCTTCGTTTAAGTTTCTGCCAAGCAGGTCTTCTCTCTGGGCATACCTCCGTGGGCGCGCGAGGAACGAGGGCGGCAGGGGCTGTGAGTTCCCACGGGGTCCTTGGCCAGGTAGTCAAGGTGACCTGGAGACGGTGGGTTTGCGCTAAGAAATGTCTGACTCCAGGTGAAGGGTGGGCAAGTGTCAGGAGACTGGAGTGACCTGTGCTTGAGGGTTATACTCCGTGCCTTTCCCAGCTATGAGGACGGAAGGTAGTATTTTCCCAATGATGTTTGGTGACGTAGACTAGTAAATAAGGAATGTGTCAGCCCAGCGGTACACAGCCTTAGGGGACAAACAAATGAGGATGGTGGGAATASGAGTTTAAGAGAGTACTRTAAAATGGGCCCACTCTGCTGACCCCGACATGCTTTCTTTGCCAAAAAGCAATTTATCTGCAGCCTTGCCTGGCCTAAGTGACTGGCCTAAGTGAACAGGTTATGTCGAATTCCTCAGCAAACTACCTGTTATCTGTAAGGAAATGCATTTACAAGAGGAACCCAAGTTACTTTGAAGGGCGAGACATTTGTGACCCTTTTCACAGATCAGATTATAGAAGATAAGGGTAATTCCTCCAAATTATGAAGAATCTAATTAGAACCAATTAGAATTGATGAAGAATCTAATTAGAACCAATTAGAATTCTGCCTGGGCCAAGGTGAGAATTGTTATGCAATGAAGATTTGAAAGTTTGATGTCACTCTGCTGTCACTCAAAAGTCAAGACCTGGACAGAACTCTTTGGAAACTTCCCTGCCCACCCCAACCCCCAATAAATTGTAGTGCAGGAGGGGTATATTGTCTCTCTTCACTCTGAGAGGACCCACTCTTTCCCTTGAGAGTGACCCCTTTCCCTTTTCCTGTCATTTCAATAAACTCATTCTTGTTACTCTGAGCTACATATCTGAAATCTTTCTGACTTGATCACAAGAATTGGGTTTGACAAGAGGGTCTTCATGCTGCCTCAGTTTCTCAGAAGGCCCCAGCTCTTTAACAATAGGACCTATGGTCTGGGGCTGTAGCTCAGTGGTTGAGTGCTTGCCTCACATGCGTGAGGCACTGGTTCAGTCCTCAGCACCACATAAGTAAAAATAAATAAAATACTGTATCCATCTACAACTAAAAAAAAAAAAAAATCTTTTTTTTTATTGGTTGTTCAAAACATTACAAAGATTGCAGAATCACATAGGTTACACATCCACATTTTTATACAATGCCATATTAGTAACTGTTGTATTTTGCTACCTTTCCTATCCTCTACTATCCCCCCTCCCCTCCCCTCCCATCTTCTCTCTCTACCCCATCTATTGTAATTCATTTCTCTCCTTGTTTTAAAAAAAAAAAAAATTCTTAAAAAAAAAAAACAAGATCTAGATTCTTCCAGTTTAAAAAAATAAATAAATAGTAGGGCTTGAGGGTTGGTTGTAAAGCTTTCTAATATTGTTCATTAGAGCAGAATGTTTTTTAGCCCCACCCCAACAGCCCTATTGTTCAGCCTGGATTTTTTTTCCTAAAACATTTGACATCCCCCTCTTTATTTAACCCTAAGAAGTAGCTACCATTATTCCCATTTTATAGCTAAGCAAATAGAGAAGTAAATCAAATATTCAAAGCAAACCATCTAGTAGGGGCTTAGGTTGTGGCTCAGCGATGGAGTGCTTGCCTCACGCATGTGAGACCCTGGGTTCAATATTCAGCACCACAAAAAAACAAATAAGTGAAATAAAGATATTGTGTCCAACTACAACTAAAAAATTTTTTTAAAAAAATACATCTATTAAGGTAACAGCCAAGATGTAACTAATTCTCTATCATATCCTGCCTCTCTGCTTAAAGAATCTTGTTAATAAACACAGTATAGATTATTACCTCATTAGTTCAAGGCCTTGACAAGCAAGCTTATCCTCTGTGGTGAAGAGAAATAATCATAGGATGGTATCACAGAAGGGCAGTTTTCTGAGTCCTAAGTATTATTTAATTTATTTCACAGTATTTATCAACTGCCTACCCTGTGCCAACTACTATCCTAGGACTTGGGGACACAGCAGTGAACAGCCCTGTGCTCAGAGTTTACATAACAGAGGAAACAACACATAAACATATAATGTCAACTCTTGAGTGCAAAACAAGGTAAAAGGGGAAAGAGTGCTTGTTCCTACACTCCAGTTTTTCTCTTCCAGTTGTTGTCTCTAATCCTCAGACTCCAAAGCAAAGAAACACATGTATTTCTCTGCACTTTAGAGAAATAATGAAGTGCCAGTTGCTTTTTTTTCTCCAGAAAGTTTCGAAGGACAGCTCTTTTGGTGTTTCGAGAATATGCACACATGGAATAAGAGAGTGACTGAAAGGAACAAGAGAGTGAGGCAAAAGGAGGCTGCTCAACTCACCAACTGATTTGCTCTTAGTTATTTTATTGACACTTTCTTATTGTTACAAAGGGAGAGCAAGGTGTTAAGGATACGCAAAGGAAAGTCATGCATATGGGGGATACATATCACTTTAGATCTCAGGAAGCAGTGAGCATCTGGTAGTCTTTGGGGAAACAGAAAGAGAGGGGAATCCAATAAAGAGAAAGGCCATCTTAAGTGATACAAAAAGAGAAGCTGAGAGATGCCATAGCTACCTGGAACATAATAGAGGGGCTAAATTAAGTATTTTTTGCGGGGGGGGGGGGGGGGGGGCATACTGGGGATTGAACTTAGTGTCTCTATCCTGCCAGGCTACATCCCCAGCCTTTTAATTTTTTTTTTTTTTTTTTGAGACAGGTCTCACTAAGTTGCCAAGGTTGGCCCAGAACTCACAATCCTCTTGCTTCAGCTTCCCAAGTAGCTAGGATTACAAGCATATGCCAGTGGGCCCAGTTCATTTACTCTTTTCAGAGACCATAAGGTCTCTGGGGAAAGCAAGGTAAGAAGAACAATTCTTCAGAGAATTATTAGGGACACAGAATAAAATGAGTAAAATTAAAGAGTCACTGGCAGAAGTCAGGAAACAGCAGTATTTAGATTTTGATAGGTGAACAGAGGTAGGAATAATGCACGGGAGTGCCATTTATTGAATCATAACTACTACCTGTCAGGAACTATGTTAAGCTCTTTACAGAATGATTCCTAATTGTTGAAGCAATCTCACAAGGTAGGCATTATTATTTCAGTTTTTACCGAGGAGAACATTGAGGATTCCAGATTAAGTAGCCTGTCCTAATTGCATGGTCAACAAGTGGCAGGGTTGAGAAAGGAACTCAAATCTGCCATTTTCTGAAGTCACGGGGCTTTCCATGTCCCTACTTCTCCATGTTCCACGCTTCACATGAAGGAAGGGAATGACTTCGGTACTTACAAGGATCCAGTGAGGATTAAAAAACATAAATTGAAAAAATAAATAAATTCAGGTTTGAGCAGAATATTTACAAGTTTCACAGGAGAATATTGGATTCTGGTTCCCAGATTTTCCAAAGAATGGAGAGGTGATTTTTTTTTTCTTTTGGTGGCACTAGGAATTGAACCCAAGGCTTATGCATGCTAGGCAAGGGAAGGTGATTTGACTTGGGAGATTTCTTTGAGGAGGAGAACTGGCTGGAGGAATCAGACCCCATGGTCAATCCTAGGCAGTGATCCGGTAGTTGGGGTGGACCTGGGGCCTGACATCGAAGACCATGCCAAGAAGCTGGGCCAGGACACGCTCCCGGTTTCTCTGCTGGGAGCTCTGCATGCCCTGTACCTGGCGCCTTGTGGCCTGCTCCACTTCAGCTGACAGGTTCCCCTGGGAGCCCATGGCCTGGGGGATGGGAAAAGGGGTGGAGGAGAGAAAGAAAAAAGCGGAAGAGAGAAAGGTCCAGGCATGTGGAGAGGAAGATCCTGAGCAAGCCAAAAAGAAAGGCCTTTTCATAAACTGTCCCCATCCCATAGAAATAGCCAGATATCAAAGAGATCAACACAATCCCCTGTTCTCTAAGAACAGACATGCAACCTCATCCTAAAACAGGGATTGTAAAGTCCCCACCACCTCACCACCCCTGACCATAAAATTCTGCCCTCACCCTAAATGTTATCATACCCCACAGAGATTGTGGAGATTCCCCTGGCCCCCAAGCTGTTCATGTCCTTCAAACTGCCAGACTCTCTTACATATCATCTCAAAGCTTTACCAACACTATGAGCCTTGCCAGAGTCCCCTAAGCCCTCTACCATCGTATTTTCTTGCCTAGTCACTTGTACACACCTCACAACATGCTCCCACCAACTTGCAACTGGGTGGGTGCTGTCCAAACTCCCCCCACCCCACAACTCACCGCCTGCTGCTTGCTCTGGAATTCCTGCTCTCGCTCTCTGCGGTACTGCTCCACTTCCATCTGTGCCTCTTCCTTTGCCTGCTTCAGCCTCCGAGCCTTTCCTGGAGGCAGAAGAAAATACAGTGGGTAGGATGGATCCCCCACCAACTGTGATATTAGGGGTCAATCCCTTCCAGAAAGTTGTTTGGCCTTCTCTCAGCCAAACCAAGTGTTAGATTCTAATACCCACCGATTTCTTCCCTCCTAACCAACATTCAGCACCCAGCTCCCGACCTGAAAGCCTTGAGTTTGCTAATCTCCATCCCTTATTTTCCTTCCAGATTTCTAAGGGAGAGGCGACTCACTCTTTCTGGCATCTGCTACCTTCTCAGCAGCCCGCTTCTCAGCTTGCAGGAGCTGCTGGATACCCTGGGACTGACTGGCCATTTCCGTCCTTAGAGCTGATGCTGTTTCGTAGGGGACCAAGGTATCAGATGGCTTCCCCCACCCCCAATGCCTACTGCTACTCCTCCTCCAGCTCGTTGCTGCAGTCCTCCACTACCCCTGGGTCTTAGTGCTCCCCTTTTCACTCAGTCTCCTGCATTGGTTGTCTCCCCCAATCTGATCCTCCCACTGATGATGGTCCTCCTCTCCTACCTCTCTCTCAGGCAGTACCCAAAAGGACCGCTTGGGAGCAGCAGAGACCAGGTCCAAACCTGCCGGTTAACTTCTCTACAGGTATAGGATCTTTCCAGTCACCAAAGTCTAGGGATGGGAATAGAGGCTGAGAAGGGAGGAATATTTGGGAGTATTTGGGTGGGAGGAGGAGAACTTGATCAGTGGTCTCAGAGGAGGCACAGAGGGAATGAAAATGGGGTGAGAAGGTAAGGATGTTATCATGCGACGCGTGCTGGAAAAGAGATGTACTGGACTTCTCTTTTCTCTCCCCTCTATCTCCATATTTTCCTACATGTTTCCAAAGTCCAAATTTCTGTAAGGATCTCTCTTATCTCATTTGCCCTGTGCTACAGTTACCGTTGTCTTTTTATGTCTTATCGTGTCCGTTTTTCTCTACTGATCTATACCTGTTCTCGGTTTAATTGTGGTTTTGGTTTTGCATTTTCACTATGATTTTTATCTTATCTTTACCTCCCCTCTTTTCTTTATCTTTTTATCTTTCCATCCATCACCGAACCATGCCCTTTCTCCTCCCAGTTGAGTGAGGACAGGGTAAACCTCCAAATAGCCCTCCTTTTTTACCCCGCCTTCGCCTSGGCTTCTCATCCTGTCTTCCGGTTTATGGGGGAACTTTGTCTTAAGTTCCCAGTTCCCTCCGGAGGCATAACCGAGTAACTACCGGTTCGGGGCAGAACGACTTCCGACAATGCGCCTTACAGTTCATTTCCGCCCTAAACCTTCGTCTGTGCTTGCGCCATTTCCGCCAGCCTGGAGTGTCTCCGCCCTTCCCGCCTCCCTTCTCGGAGCTCTTAAACACAGGCCTCGGGCCTACAGCTCTGGGGGTACTTGGGGGGCGGGGGGGGGCTGGTCTGATGAATAACCCCTCCCCCCAGGTCCCAGAGGAAGAAGCCTCTACATCTGTTTGCCGGGTACATTATATTCAATTTCTAGATCATTATTGGAAATTGTGACTTTTAAATTCAAGTTTCTCCTGATAAAATTTCCACCATCAGGCCCTATTCGTTTTTTTCAAAATCAATTATAAACAAATTTTAAATTTACCTGGGCTTTTGAACCTTAAAGCAATTATGCATCTTTTTCTCAAATTTTACGTAAAAAAATTAAATCTGTGACCCTAACCCCACTCAAAAATTTTTTTCGAACCTATAATCTGGTAAAGGATAAGAGTACAATAGGCCTCATTTTTTACTGGAGTTGTGAAAAGAAACAGGGAACTAAAAGGAGAAACGAGGGAATGTCTGAGATGGAGGGGGAGGGACCAGCCAAGGCTGGAGTCCTGACTGCTGCCTTTCTTCCCTTCTTTCTCAGCCAAAGAGTTCCATGGCCTCCACTTCCCGCCGTCAACGCAGAGAGCGTCGCTTCCGTCGTTACTTGTCTGCAGGACGGCTGGTCCGGGCCCAGGCCCTTCTCCAGCGACACCCAGGCCTTGATGTGGATGCTGGGCAGCCCCCACCACTGCATCGGGCCTGTGCCCGCCATGATGCTCCTGCCTTGTGCCTGCTGCTTCGCCTTGGGGCTGACCCTGCCCACCAGGACCGCCATGGGGACACGGCGCTGCACGCTGCTGCCCGCCAGGGCCCCGATGGTGAGTCAGCCTCGTGGGGAACAAGGTCATGAGTGATGGTCATCAGAAGTGAAGGCCAACTAGTAGCTGGGAAACAAGCTAGTTATTTGGTCAGTTGAACCTAGGGAGGCAACTGACAAGGTTGGCGTGTGGCGATGGTTTGTGCCTTTACATTACTGAAATACCATTGTCTAAAGAGCCTGGCATTCCCAAAACAGCAACTACTCTTCRAATTTCACATCTTTGCAGTTTAGTAGCTACTTTGTTTCTTGACTGGTTGTGTTTAGCACAAAAATAGAATAGAAGGTAGGCTTTGAAGTTGGATTGCCTGAGTTCAAATCCCTAGCTGCACACTTAATAGCTGTGTATTCAGTTATTAAATTGTCCTGAGGCTTAGTTTGCCAATGAGCAGAATTAAAATAACAACCTTTACTGTGTACCCTATATTTCTCATAAAGTAACTGATTTAATCCTCACAATAACTCTACAAGGTATAAGTATGGATATTTTACCCCACTTTCCTGATGAGGAAACTAGGCATAGAGAAGTTAAATCATTTTCCAGACTTATACAGCTATTCACTYATAGAACAGGGATTGTAATCCAAGCAGCCTAATTATGTAGTGTCTTGTGTTATACATTATGGAATTATATAGTGATTACGCCCACATTCATATTCAGGCTGTGACGTATATTTTGAGAATCAATCAACATAATGCATAATTAGAATGCCTGGTACATGATAAGCACTTGGTAGATGCTGGTAGTGGTTGTTYCTATTGTTATCAACAAGTACATACTCCCTTACACACAATTCTGAACCTCAGAAACACTCTGGGAACAAATTTTTATCAGTTTGCCACCAAAACTCATTTGGTGACAAAAATCTAATCCGAACTAAAGTGAGGCTATCTCTGATTTTTTTTATCCCACTGATGTCAATATTCAGAGATTTCATACCAGAAACATTGATGTGTTTGGTTACTAGGGCTGCCCAGACTCCCCTGGGATACCTAATCTACAGTATATGTATTTTGAGATCAGTTCTATCAAATCTCAAAACATCTGAGTTTTGACAAACCTTTGATCCTGAGAGATACAGACGTTTATATTGCAGTTGCAGTGGTAACAGCTCTGTAGCAATATAGCTTACCAAAATCAAAGGTGAAACCCCTTTCTACATCTAGAGATTTCCTTCTAGAGTAAGAGGAAAGCCTCTATGTTCAGATGAACAATACTAATTTAATTTGATTTGCTATTTTTCCATCCTCAGGTTTCCAGGTATGTACAGGAACCCCTTCTTCTCCCATACGGTCTTAAATTCCCTTTAATTCTGCTTAACATAAGTTGCTTTCACTCCCATAACTTGGTATCCTCTCAGGATATCAAGTGAGATAGCTGGTATATTTTAATTTTTTATTTTATTTTATTTTTGGTACTGGGGATTGAACAGGGGACTTTGCCACTGATCTATATCCCCAGCTTTTATTTTGAAACAATCTTACTATAATTGTCCAGGCTGGCCTTGAACTCATGATCCTCCTGCCTCAGCCTCCCAAGTAGCTAGGATTATAGGCATGTGCTTCCGAACCGACTTGGTTGTTATGTTTTGTTTTGTTTTTTGTTTTTGTTTTGTTTGTTTGTTTTTAATTTAAAAACAAAGAGGGGAGGCTTACCAAGTACAGGTATCTAACTGGCTGGCTGATATTGTAACAGGCAGGGCTTTGGAAGGCAACAAAGCAGACTACCACAAGGCAGAGCTGCTTCCAGATAGATCTCAGCTCTACGGAGGACAGAGACGTGCAACATAACCTCTGAGCCTAATTTGCCTCTCTAAAATGGGAATTGTGATGAGTAAGTGAGCCAAACATTTGGTGCAGTTTTGACACCCCCTAAATGATATGTATGTTATTTTTATATAATTCATTAAGGCTTTTTGAGTAATAAAAATGTCCATAATGATGTGGTAGACATTTCCTTCATTATACTGAATTCTAAGAAGCATGTAAGATTGATATTATACAATTTACAGATGAGGAAAGGGGGGCCCAGAGGTTAGGAACTAGCCTGAAATCTCATAGCTGTGAGGTGATTGGATTCTAAAGGGGGACTACCGCTTTCACTCCCGTAACTTGGTATCCTCTCAGGATTTATTTCCCCCAGTCCCTTACCAGCTCTGCCACGAGGTGGCCTTCTAATACCTGTGTTAGAAGGCCCTTCTCATCCAGCCAACTACTTTAGAAACCACCTGCCTTAGTAAAATGAAAGGATCTTCTTTGAACAGATTAAATGGCCCATAATCCCCTGCCAGGATTTTTTTCCCTTAATTCCTATGTTAAGTTTGAGGGATGCTCCACTTCATGCTGGAACAGCTGGCTGAGTTATACCCAGTAAGATGCAAGTGAAGGGCTCCTACCTTTTAGGCTTTGGATGACTTCTTTTAGAACCCGTCACTTAATGGGAAAGTGGTCTTAGCTGCCAGATTACCCCCTAAGTAAACACACCTTAATGAAACAATAACCATCCTTTACATAGAACAAGAATTAGTGAACACTGAGAAGCAGGGGGTCATTTTCTCAGTCTTTTACAAAATGAATAAAAGTCAAAGCCAGCCTGTTTCTTCTTTTTTAAATATAACATTCACTGCACTTTTGCTGTGTGCTAACATAGTACCAGACATTCAACATCAATTACTCACTTTGATCTGTGCAGTAGAAACAAGCTTTGACCCCATTTTACAATGACTGAGCATCCGGTTTATGTTCCACTTGCCTTTCCAGCCTTACCTCTTGCTGCCTAGCCACAGACCCATGACTCCAGCTATGTGGCTCTGTCTTCAATGACCCTAAACACATCTTTCACAAATCTGTTTGTCTCTTAAATGTTGCTTTCCTAATTTCCACTTTGCTAAGCGTTATCCTCCCTTACCAGCTCAAGCCCCACCTCCTTCTTGAAGCTCTCTCTGACTACCTCACCGACTTTTACCTTTTCCCTCCTCTGGGTCTCAGTTAATCTTCACTCAGTATAAAATTTTGATACTACTTTTTTGTCTTTTAAAATAGGCTGGTCTTGAGCTTCTGGGCTTAAATGATCCTCCCACCTTCGTCTCCCAAAAAGTTGGGATAATAAGCACACACTACTCTGCCCATCTGTGATACTTGCATTTTTAGAAATTGTGTTCAGGGCTGGGGTGTGGCTCATTGATAGTATGTGCAAGAACCTTGGTTTGATCCCCAGCACCATAAAAAAGAAAAACATTGCATTCTTTTTACCAGTTAGTATGTCTCTACCTGTAAGGTAGAAATCATGCCTTTTTATGGATAAGGAAGGAGCAAGTGCCTCCATCACTAAGACAAAGTAAATTTTTTATTCCACAAAAGTTTTTCATGTTTATTTTTCCTAGTATGGATGTACAACATATTAATTAATGAACACTGGGAAGCATTGATCTATACTGATAAATTTATGATAAATGTGGCATTTCAAATGCTAGAAGAATATAAAATGTTTAATAAATGATTTTGAAACATTTGGCTTATCTAGAGAAAAAAAGAGTCCTACCTCACACCTAACTTGAAATTCCAGAGCTAAGCATGTGGTGATCCTCTACAGTACTAGCTACTTGGAGGATCATTTGAGCCCAAGAATTTGGGGCCAGCCTAGACAGTATAGTGAGACTTTGTTTCTTATAAAAGTAAATTCTAGGGCTGCAGTTGTAGCTCAGTGGTAGAGTGCTTGCCTAGCATGTGTGAGGCACTTGGTTCAATTCTCAGCACTACATATAAATAAATAAAATAAAGGTCTATCAGGCTGGGGCTATAGCTCAGAGGCAGAGTGCTTGCCTAGCATGCGTGAGACACTGGGTTCGATCCTCAGCACCACATAAAAATAAATAAGTGAAATAAAGGTATTGTGTCYAACTACAACTAAAAAATAAAGAAAGAAAGACATTCTGCCCATCTACAACTACAAAAAATTTTTTTTAAAACTTGGAGTTGGGTCTGGGGTTGTGGCTCAGTAGCAAAGCTCTTGCCTAGCACGTGTGAGGCCCTGGGTTTGATCCTCAGCACCACACATAAATAAATAAAATAAAGGTATTGTGTCCAACTACAACTAAAAGATAAAAATATTAAAAAAAAAAAAAACTTGAGGCTGGGGTTGTGGCTCAGCAGTAGAGCACTCTCCTCGCATTTGCAAAACCCTGGGTTCTATCCTCAGCACCACATATAAATAAATAAGTGAAATAAAGCTATTGTGTCCAACTACTACTAAAAAATAATAAATAAATTTTTAAAAAACTTTTAAGAAACTTAAAAACTGTCAACAACTAAAGTGTGTATGTGTGTGTATGTAAATTTAAAAATAAATAATTAAATAGATTCTGTAACCCCTTCCCATAAATAAAAYTTAGAAGGCAGCATCAAAGAAAGTCAGCTTTATCTGTGATAGTTTTATTTCTTTAAAAATAAAATGATGATGTAGCAGGCATAGTAGTGCAGGCCTGTAATCCCATGACTTGGGAGGCTAAGGCAGGAGGATTGCAAGTTTGAGGCCAGCCTCAGCAATAAGGCAAGACCCTGTCTGAAAATAAAAAATTAAAATTGGGGGGCTGGGATTGTGGCATGTGTGAGGCAATGAATTCCACTTTTATGTATAACTGTAACGCACCAATTAAAAATAAATTTTAAGGAAAGATGATAACGTTTTTGGCAAAGGAAAACAGGCTTATTTATGTATTCTTGGCACAAACAAATATTGAAAACAATTTAGCAGAATTGCATATATGCTTTTTTTCCTTTTCTTTTTTGTTTTGCACATTTTTTTTGACTGACTCAGAAATTCCACTTCTGAAAATCTATCCCACGCAAATACTTTAACAAGTCCCCAGAGATATATGTATAAAAACAATAGTTTTGAAAACAAAGTCTGTCAGGGGTGAGGAGATTTGTTTGTTTTGTACACACAGTGGAACACTAACTAGACAGTCATCAAAAAGAATGAAGTGGATTTTGTATTCCTGTGGAAAAATATGAATGAGATGTTAAATGAAAAAAAAAGTTGTCAAATAATATGTATAGTGTGGCTCACATATCTTTGAGTAAATTTAGCATATGTATGCATTAATGTACACCAAGACAGGACTGGAAACTGTTAATAGCTATAATTTAGCAATAAACTGTTAGTAGCTCTTATTTATTCCTTCTTTAAAAAGTAAAGAAATTTTCTATTTAGTCTTAGCCCTTTCACATTAAAATATCAATTAAATAAATTTGGAAGGAAACCCAGTGGTCTTACTATCCAGAGATAAGAATTTTTACTTATTTTTTCCAGTCTGTTTTCTTCAATTATATGATTTTTGTCTCTTTTTTTTTTTTCTTTCTTTTTTTAAATTGTTTGTTTAGAGATGGGTTCTCACTATGTCACCCAAGCTGGTCTTTCTGGGCTTAAATGATCCTTCTTATTCCAGCCTCCTGAGTAGCTGGAACTATAGGCATACACCCAACTTGATCGGTCTCTCTTTCTCTCGTGTATGTGTGTGTGTGTGTGTGTGTGTGTGTGTGTGTGTGTGTGTGTGTCTTTCTCTATTTTTAACAGTTATCAGATCCCATAAGCAGTTTTGTAGCCAGCTCTTTTCACAAACAAACATCATTTATAGTGATTGTAAGATTCTGTAACATATTTTACTGATCATGTTTTTCTAATTGGAAGCCTTACTCCTTAAAAATCTATGAATTAGCCAGGCATATTGGCACATTCCTGTAATTCCAGCTGCTAAAGAGGCTGAGGCAGGAGGTCGTGAGTTCAAAGCCAGCCTCAGCAACAGCATGGCACTAAGCAACTCAGTAGACCCTGTCTCTAAATAAAATACAAAATAGGGCCAGGGATGTGTCTCAGTGGTTGAATGCCCCTGAGTTCAATCCCTGGTACCATTAAAAAAAAAGAAGAAGAAGAAAAAAGAAAAATCTATGAATTAAAAAAAAAAAAAAGTGCAAGTCTAAGGAACACACACACACCCCTGCAGTGAGCCCTGGTGGGAATAAGCAATTGAGAGACAGGACCAAGTACTTGCTGGGTGGGAAGTCAAGAGGGCTTGTGACAGGTCACAGCAGCAATACTAAGCAGAAGTGCCCATTCCCCTCGCCCTGATATAGTTTGAGTAGTTTGGGGGCCTTAGCTAACCAAAGATGGACCCATTTGTTTCCTTGCCTTTCTGGTAGTGACAGGTCAATCCTTTCCCTGTGCCATCCTTCTGCCAGGGAAGCAGTGCTTTCTAGCACCACCAAATAAAGATGTAAGGCCTGCCGACCCATTTCTCCTACCCTAGGAAAAAGTAGGTTCACAGGAAGGGAGGCTGCCTCACTTACCTCCCTTTGTCCTCTGAGCGAAAGCGGTGGTTGGTGGCCACAGAAGGTGAGCTTGTCCCAGAATAGGGCACCTGGGTTGGAGTGAAACAAGCAGCACTGCACTCTACTTGCCCTGGAACATAGGTAGTGAGGTCAAGGTTCAGGGAAAGGGATGCTTGGGAATGTCAGTCCCTGTTCTACTTCCTACCAGCTCCTGAGAGAGGCTCTGTGTCTTAGGCTCCTTACACTGCCTTAGGTGAATAGTCATTTGGAAAGAGCTTTTTTTTTTTCCAGTTGAACCCAGGGCTTTACACATGTTAGGCAAGCACTCTACTACCACTGAGTTACATCTCCAGCTTTTTTATTTTTATTTTGAGATAGGATCTTGCTAAGTTGCCCAGACTGGCCTCAAACTTGTGCTTCTCCTGCCTTAGCCTCTTGAGTGGCTAGGATTACAGGTATGTGCCATCTGCCTGGCTCCTGAACACATTTATGTGGATCAACTCATTGCTGGCCTTTGCTTCATTTCTGTTGTCTCTTGGGGAAGGCTAGCTGAGAGAAATTACCCTGAAAACATGTATTTTATTCAATATATTAAAAAGTGATATGAGGGACTGGCGATGTAGCTCAGTAGTAGAGTGCTTACCTAGCATGTGAGAGGCCCTGGGTTCAATCCCCACAACTGCAAAATAAATAAATAAATAAATAAACTTGCTTTAATAACAAAAAAGTGATGTGAAATATAGTTGTGTATTTATAGTGGTACAGAATAGGGCTTTCAGATATTTTGCCAGTCTGATCTATAATTTGGGGTGAGAAACACAACAGGGGATATGTAGTGACAGCATTTTCAAGCCAAAAGTAAAAATACAGTGAAAGGACTTTGATGTAACCCTAGCTAGAGACAGATCCCAAAAATGTCATTTGATGGGCTAGGGCTGTAGCTCAGTGTAGAGCACTTGCCTAGCATGCCTGAGGCACTGGGTTCCATCCTCAGTACCACATAAAAATAAACAAAATAAAGGCATTCTGTCTATCTACAACTACAAAAAAAAAAATTTTTTTTTAATGTCATTTGACACAGTAGAACTCTGAGCCCACCAAAATAGTTTGTGGGAACCCAGGTCAGAGCATTTTAAACTATCAGTCTTATAGTGCATGTAAACTAACAGTGAATATTTGTCAGAGATGTTTTTTTCCTAATACTCAAGAGGCATCCAGATGGGCCATCCTTTCTGTTGTGCTAAACCAAGGGAGTATGAGTGACTAGCATAATTCCAAGTTTGAGGTCCTGCTGAGGTTTGGAGTCCCTGCTAATTTCTGCTGTTTTTTCCCCACCCATAGCCTACACAGACTTCTTCCTACCACTGCTGAGTCGCTGTCCCTCTGCCATGGGAATAAAGAATAAGGATGGGGAGACTCCTGGGCAAATTCTGGGTTGGGGCCCCCCATGGGATTCTGCTGAAGAGGAGGAAGAAGATGAGGCTTCCAAAGAGCGGGAATGGAGGCAGAAGCTGCAAGGCGAGCTGGAGGATGAGTGGCAGGAGGTCATTGGGAGGTTTGAAGGTGAGGAATTTATCGCCTTCCACAGTTACTCTTCCCCCATCGGTCRTTTTTCCAGTCTCCCTGCATGAACRCTTCACCCTGGGTTCCTCTGCCTGCCCCCGCCCCCRCCATACTTCCTTGCCTCTCCTGCCCCATCATCTTCTCACAGCCTTTCTTCAACTATCCCATCTCCCTTCCCAACCAGATGATGCTTCCCGTGAGACCCAGGAACCCGAGTCCTTCTCAGCCTGGTCAGATCGCCTGGCCCGGGAACATGCCCAGAAGCGCCAACAGCAACAGCGGGAAGCAGAGGGATCCTGCCGACCCCCAAGAGCTGAGACTTCCAGTCACAGCTGGCGACAACAGGAGGAAGAACAGCGTCTCTTCCGAGAGCGAGCCCGAGCCAAGGAAGAAGAACTGCGTGAGAGCCGAGCCAGGAGGGCCCAGGAGGCTCAAGGGGACCAAGGGCCTGAGCCAGCCAGGGCTGGGCCCAGGGCAGAGCAGCCCAGAGGGGTGGGAAGGGGCAGCCTCTGGCGCTTTGGCGATGTGCCCTGGCCCTGCCCTGGGGGAGGGGACCCGGAGGCCATGGCTGCAGCCCTGGTGGCCAGGGGTCCCCCATTGGAGGAACAGGGAGCTCTAAGAAGGTACTTGAGGGTTCAGCAGGTTCGCTGGCACCCTGACCGATTCCTGCAGCGATTCCGGAGCCAGATTGAGACCTGGGAGCTGGGTCGTGTAATGGGAGCTGTGACAGCCCTTTCTCAGGCCCTCAATCGCCATGCAGAAGCCCTCAAGTAACTCTAGTGAAAGAACAAGAAACTGTGGGGATGCAGGCTCAGGGGTGGGCAGGAGGAAGGGTAAGGTCAGGGATGGGGACGCAAAAGGAAGAGGCACATGCCACGTGGAGAGGATATGGGTGGGATCGAAACTTGTAACTAGCGGGGGTGGTGGCAAATGGGCCTCTACCGCTGCTCTTGACTCTGCCATTTCCTAATAAGACCTGGTTCCACGTCTCACTCCCAGAGTCTCCTCTGCCTTTTTCCATCAGTATGGTTTTCATCACCCATGACATCTCCTTTCCCACCCGCCAGCCGAAACCCACAGCTCCTACACAACTGCAMCAAGCACGCACGCACTGATATGTGCCATCAGCTGGAGACCAGAAGCCCTCTGCTTGCCTACTCAAGGTCAGCCCTCAGAAAGCCTAGTTACCCCAGCCTCATCACTCTGCTCCCTACACTGGGGTTCTGTCCACTCTGCATTCTGTGGCTGGAGAAACAGATGTGAACATAGGCCAAAAAAGGGAACAAAACCAGTTTCCCTCCACCACCACCACCCCCAGCTAACCAAGCAGAACCACATCCTTCTCCCCACTTGACACCCCCTCCCCCTAACACAGGGCTTTCCCTTTGCTGAGTCACTGAAAGAGCGAGTAGGGGGCAGCTAGGGCTGGGGACCATGAGGAGACCGAAGGTGGAAGAGAGAAGCAGGATGGATGGAGGAAAAGCCCTGTGGGGGAGGGAATTTCGGTTGCTAAAATTAGATGCAGCGGAAGGAGGCGGAAAGAGCCAAATTATGTAACCTGGGTTGTCTGTTCTTGGGCAACCAGAGATCCACCCCTATGGCTAGATGGGCTATTGAGCTCCCAGCTAGCTTTGCCCTCAAGCCTCTTAGTCCCGTCCCTCCTGTGGAGCCCTCTTCCATCCAACTTCTGCCCCATCCCAAACCCAGTCTTATCTCTGGGCAGCTCAGGCTTGGTCTGTCACATAAACATCTCTTTTTGCAMAAATTCATAGTTGAGGTTCTGAGGAATGGAGGAAGAGGACTCAGGATTCCCACGAAGAGAGGGGGCTCCATCTCTCCCACTGTTCGAACTTGGCTCCTACTCCAACTTCCTGGAAATAAGGAAGTGTAGGCCTAACCCAACTGCCATCGCCCAGAACACAACTGGGAACTTGAAGAAAGAAAGGGCAGGACTGAAAGGAAAAAGTACAGATGTGCACTGGTATGTGCATGTCCACATGAAAATCTTTCCAGTCAAAAACTTAATCATCAGGACTCAAGCCCAAGCCCAGGTCTACACAAGAGATCCTAGGAATGCAAGTGGAGGGTGGTAAAGGATAGGGAGAGGAAGACACTGGGGACATGGGATGGGCCTGAGACCCTGGAGAAGATAGAAAACCTGAAGTTAGGAAGAGGCCCAAGGCTTTAGAGAACCAAGCCAATGTCCTGGGACAGGAGGGGAAGAGGCTGGTGAGAAAGATCCTGTGAGAGGAAGCTGCTGTGATTCAGAGAAGAGACTTCGAACTGTGAGCAACCCAGGCGTCCGGTTCCTCTCACAGACCGGAGATTTCGGAAGTGGCATGCAAAGAGCCCAGGTTTGTAGTTGGGGGGAGTTGGGGTTAGGGTCCCTGAGCTGGCAATTGAGAGAGAACTTTGGTGTCCACATTTGTTTTTCTATTCAGATATCTTTAGTTTTTAAGTACATCATCATCTTCTCTGAACAGAGTTATATAAAACCAAAGCAAGATAACCCCTGACACATGGATCCCCAGACCTCCCTCTTTTCAGCATCCCTCCCTGGTGTCTGGCCCCCAGCCCTGATGGGGGTTCCCCTGAGATGAGGGCTGTTCACTTTCTCTGACCACATGATTTCCGTTTCTATGTCTCTTGTTTCCTAGGCTGATAAAAATACTGAGCCCTAGAGGCCCTGGCTTCCTCTGACCCCCTGGTGCCAGGTAGCAGGCATCCTGTCCACCACTGTGGGGGCTGGGAGGGGCCACAGGGATCCCCCAGGGGTGACTCAGTGCCTACTGAGAAACACTGGGGAGGTGCAAGATTGTGTATCCCTGCTCTCAAGTTGGAACTAGGAGTTGGTATCAGTAGAAGATGCATTAGGTTTCAGTTTGAGAAATGGGGTTGAGAATGAGACTAGTGAGATTCAAGAGGGTCGGTCTGTGGATTGGGGTGAGGATATGTTTGGGTTATGTTAGGAAAAGGATATGGAAAGTATTCTGTTCAGTGCAGAACAGCTGAGCATGATGTATCCCAAAGAAATACAAACGCTACTTCAAGTTTGAAGTCCCATGGGGAACAGACCAATATTAATTGACTGGTTGAAGGCAGGCCAAGTAAACTTTACAGTAGGGCACATTGGATATAGAAAAGGGAAACACAGGGTGGAGAGCAATCCGAGTAGGCCCCAGAGAACAGATGGGGTTTCAGTGGGTGAAGAGCTATGGAAAGGCTTCAGAGGCAAACAAAGTAGCTTGACCAGAGACTGGGAAGTCAGAAAGCCTGGTATGTGCAGGACAAGATGAGTGTCCTGAGGTAGAAGCAGCATATGAGGAAGCACGTGGTGAAGAAAGGGCCACAGAAGGCCAAGGTTAGGAATTTGGGCTTTATGAGAACTGTTGTGAACAGGGGGATCAGGACAGCGCTGTGGAAGTGCACACAGTAGTAAAAAGAAAATCACTGTCTTTTTGAATATTGGCAAGGTGTTAACCAGCCCTTTTCCTACCATCAGTAATCTTGTTGGGGGCTCGGATCATAATACTCCAAAGAATGATGCTTTGGCATGCTGAATAAGTGCTTCGAACTGAAGGAAATAGGCTTCAGAAGCCAGGCTCTCTGCCTTTCTCTTGTCCTGTCGTACTGCTAAAGTGAGTCATAAAAACCAGACTCCTCTCCTTTAAGATGGGTCATAGAAACTAGAATCCTTCCACAAAGCCAGCTGTAAAAACTTAGAAATATTATTCAAGCCTACACACACACACACACACACCCTTTTGTGTAAGAGTCAGCCATAAAGAAATCCTGTGGCAGTGAATCATGAGACCCTCATTCCAGAGGGCTCCTGCCCCAAACCCAAGAACAGGAATACTACACAGGCCAACAAGAAGCTGAATAGGCCTGCTGAGTTTTCCTGCTCTGTGTCCATCAGGTCATACCCTTTTTTACCCAGTCACATTTCTACATCGCTCTTCATTTTTCTTCATCAACTCCAAGCATAAAAATGGACAGTTTTTCCTGATATTTACATCTTCATTTCTGAAGTCACTAGTGTCATGTAAAATTTTGATTAAATAAATTTGTTATGCTTTTCCCTTGTTAACCTGTCCTTTTTTTTTTTTTTTCATGTCTTACATGAGTGTGGGTGATGCCCCTTAAGAAGGGTAAGAAAAGGGATCAAACATACTTTCCTGCCCCTGCACCACCAACATCTGTCCAAAGCTACACAACAAAAAAGTGGTGGAATTAGCATTAAGCTCATCTGACTCCAAAACTTGTGTTCTTTCTCTTTTAAGTCCAAATGACATTAAAAGATGGAACAGGTTTTATAAATGTTGAGGGGATATTAAGACATGAAACTGGCTAGGCACATAGTAGCACATGCATATGATCCCAGCAACTCTGGAGGCTGAGGCAGGAAGTGCACAAGTTCCAGTCCAGCCTGAACAACTTAGTGATACCCAGTCTCAAAAATAGAAAGGACTTGGAATGTAGCTCAATGGTAGAATGCTCCTGGGTTTTAAAATAAATAAATAAATAAAGGACATGAAAGCTGATTGGTGGTGAGAATGAGGAAAGAAGTCCTAGATATCTTACTCTAAATTTTTGAGCCAGGGGGATTGAAAAGATAATGATGGCCTAAACCAAAAAGCAAGAGCATGGCTGAGTGTAATTTCAGACAATCAATACATTTTTATTAAGAACCTATTAGGAGTAAACTGCTAGACAATGCGTATAAATGAAAAAAATCACTGTCAAAGAACTTGCAGTCTAGCCAGGCCCAGTGGTACACTACTGTAATACCAGCTACTTGAGAGGCTGAGGGAGGAGGATGGTAAGTTCAAGGCCAGCCTGGGCAACTTGGCAAGACCCTGTCCAAAAAAAAAAAAAAAAGAACTTGTGCTCAAGGGAGACAAACAATACACAAGTAACAACTTGGAGTGCCAGCTGAGCATAGTGGCACATACCCAGCGACTCAAGGCTGAGGCAGGAGGATCAAAAGTTCAAGGCCAGCCTTTGCAACTTCTTTACCCCATCTAAAGATTTAAGAAAGGAAGGATGGGGGGTGTTTGCTGGGGATATGGCTCCATGGTTAAGTGCCCTGGTTTCAATTTCTCATTACCAAAAATAATAACAATAATAAAATAATGGAAATGCATCTGCTTAGAGTAGTAAAGTAAGTGCCCAAAGAAATCCTACTGAGTTTGAGATGGTCAGCATGACACTCAGGTGGAAGTTTCCAGCAAGCAGGTCTAGCGCTCAAAAGTTTGGGCTAGAGGGATAGGTTTGGGCATCATTCTCTTCCAGTAGAGGTTGAACCTTTAAGGACAGGATCCTCAGGAGAGAGGGTGCAGTGGCCAAAGAGCCAAGAGGGTGATCAAGGAAGAGGAACCAAAAGAGGAGGGGAGTAGGAGAGCAACCCCAAAAGTAGGGCAAGGGAGATGCGCAAACAGAGACTGAGCAGCTATATCTGGGGCCTCAAGGTCTGGTAGGTAAGAGTTGAAAAGGTCTTTTGAGTTCAGGAACTAGATGATTACCAATTTTGAGAAAACAATTTCCATTTAGTAGAGAGGCAGAAATCATTATACGGTAAGGAATGAGTGGGAGGTGAGACCAAGGAGGCAGGGAGCATGAGGAGCAGATACAGAAGACAGCTAAGAATCATCTCTTAGTTCTACCCACAAATTTAACAGATGAGGAAAATTTTACCAGTTCCTGAAAAAAGCAGTTAGTCAAGGGGTCTTGAGACATCATACAGAAAGGGAAGGTGAGAGATGGAGTGGACATTTGAAGGAAAAAGAGTCCAGGGAGGGGTTTTTATATCTGTTTTCAAGAAAAAAATTGAATATGTTTATAAAAGGAAAAGAAAACACATGAAGAGAGAAAGGTACAGAAAATATAAGAAATGTGAGAAGAGGAAGTGGGATAAGGAGTATAGATAAACTGGGTGCAGTGGCACACTCCTGTAATCCCAGAGATTTGGGGGTTGAGGCAGGAGGATCCA